TTGCCAAGTATAGCGACGTTCACCCGTAATGACGCCTACGAGTATGTCAACAAACTCAATACGTCAGCGACCTCTCTCTTATCGGGGTCCTTGTGCAGAGCCCAAAATAAACAAGGATCACAAGCGACTAAATTGTCGCCAAAGAACGTTCACGATATCCCATTCTGACCAATTTCTGTCCAGCAATAGCTCATGTATCATGCTACAATCTAATAGAGCGTTATACACACACATAAACTTGTTATTTTATGTTCAGCAATAGCTCATGTATTGTGCTACGATCTATTAATATGGTGATATAAGATACCGCTCTAAGCAAGGCTTTAGACAAACAGAAAGAACATTTAATTCACGCGATGATTGAGGTTGGGTACCGCAGACATAAAGACTTGTTATGTAATATCCAGATGTGCCACATTTTATTAATAGGACATTGAATGTTTTCACTCTATGCAAGGCTTTAGACAAGCAGAAACCGACATATTAATTTGCCTTAGCGCAATGGATGTAGTTTCTTACCTCAATAACTTCTATTAGGCTTAGCGTAACAATTTTTGCATATATGATTCCTGACCCTCACCTGACTTCGTCATCCAAAAATTACGTCACTGCAACGCCACAATAACGAAATAGAGCTTGCCCAATAATAGCGACGTTATTCGTAAAGGCACCTATGGATGTAGTTTCCTACCTCAATAACTTCTAGTAGACTTAGCGTAACAATTTTTGCATATATCATTCCTGACCCTGCCCTGACTTCGTCATCCAAAAATTACGTCAATGCGAATTCACAATAATGAAATAGAGCTTGCCTAATAATAGCGACCATAATGCAATCGTGATAAATACGCCTGTGTGTCCGCTATGGGTGTAGTTTCTTACCTCAATAACTTCTAGTTAACTTAGCGTAACAATTTTCGCATATATCATTCCTGACCCTCACCTGACTTCGTCATCCAAAATTTACGCCTCTGCAACGTCACAATCACGAAATAACGCTTGAATGACACCGATGGATGTAATTTCGTACCTCAATTACTTCTAGTTAACTTAGCGTAACAATTTTTGCATATAATATTCCTGACCCTACCCTGACTTCGTCATCCAAAAATTACGTCAATGCGAATTCACAATAACGAAATAGAGCTTGCCTAATAATAGCGACCATAATGCAATCGTGATAAATACGCCTGTGTGTCCGCTATGGGTGTAGTTTCGTACCTCAATAACTTCTATTAGGCTTAGCGTAACAATTTTTGTATATAATATTCCTGACCCTCACCCGACTTCATCATCCAATAATTACGTCACTGCAACGTCACAATTACGAAATAGAGCTTGCCCAATAATAGCGACGGTATTCGTAATGGCACCTATGGATGTAGTTTCTTACCTCAATAACTTCTAGTTAACTTAGCGTAACAGTTTTCGCATATAATATTCCTGACCCTCACCTGATTTCGTCATCAAAAAATTACGTCAATGCGAATTCACAATCACGTCATAGAGCTTGCCAAATATACGTACGATCACCCAAAATGGCATCGGCGCCGATGATAAAGAACTTACTAACGTCAGCGATCTCTCTCATATTGGATCGTCGCGACGAAAAAACGAGAGAAATAGTCGTTCGATTTCGGGTGCGCAGACGAGCGCGTCTCGGATGACAGTTCGTAGAGTTTAAGGGACTGTATTACGTCACTGTGACGTCGTAGAGACGTAATTTTTGGATGGCGTAGTCAGGTGGGGGTTAGGATTGACACATGCAAATATTGTTATTCTACGCCCACCAGAAGTATGTTAGGTATGAAACTACATGAGACCCCGTCGTATCCCGCTAGCATTGTTGGCGAACGTATCACATGTGAAATCAATTCTAATTGGTCCTGTTCGGACGTTCCGAATGTAACATTGAACAACGCTTTTTTAAAGGTTCTATCTACAGAAAAGCATGCTTGGGCGAATAAGTAAATTCTCAATGCTTAAAAACGGCAGACTATTTCATTATTCTTTATTCCTTTTGCTGTACAAAAAAATCTAAATTCGGACCATTTGTATCGTTAGCGTCTATTCCTTTCTATTTTTCGAACTGAACTCGATATTTAGACAGAGAATATGTGCATGAACTCTCGATGACAATATGGTCAATGAAGACTGCCGGTATGGCTTAAATGTAGGCCTACCGTATGTAGTAAAATCGGAAACTGTAAAGTTACAGGAGGCGTCCTGCTCTGAAGTCAAAAAAATATGTTAACCCTAAATATATGCACACTAGTACCGGTACTGTAGTATCTACTTTTCACCACAATTTTGTGACAGGTCTGCAGATTAGGACGTTTTAAAATTATGGAAGATGATACCAACGCCGTCACTGTTAGTACAGACCAGGAGGATTTATCCGATGAAACTAAAATGACGATACCAGGTGTAATGTATATTAGCACTATTCCACCAGGAATAACGCCAATACATTTGAAACAAGTGTTTGAAAGATATGGAGAAGTTGGCCGAATTTTTCTTCAACCAGATGGTAAGAATACATTCGTGAAAGTACATTTCCTGTGCACAAAGCCACAGTGCTATGGGTTTAGTTGATAACTATGAGGATGTTTAAAGAATTCAGTAGTTTAAAGTTAGGTACCGTAGTATACCTGTGTACAGAAATATATACATAATCTTTCTTGACCTTCTATTCAAATTTGATCATTGTGTGTTCCAAAATCATTTAATCAAGGCGCGGCGGTGTGGCTCATCGTGCTGAGCATTACAGCATTAGGAATACGCTCGCCACCACACCTCTGATTACACTGCATGAGTTCGCAGGTTCGAATCCCATGCAGGGATGGTTATGTGAGAAAGGATTGCTGGACTACTCGCCTCACTACGGTTTCCTCCACCATCAATCAAGTCCATGCTTTCGAAAACAAATAACTAACTAATCCAGTAATCCCATACATGACATGGAATGGTAACCGGATGAGAGGCTGTGATTCATAGTAATAATCCATTGTCTCTTTTTTCAGAAAAAGGTAAAAAAAGAGGGAAGAGGAAAAGAACCACTTTTACAAGAGGAAGATATTCTGAAGGATGGGTGGAAATGGCTGACAAAAAACTCGCTAAACGAATAGCATTAACTTTAAATAATACTCCTGTTATGGAATGGAAGAAGTCGAAATGTGTTGATTATATTTGGAATGTTAAATATTTGCACAGGTTCAATGTTACATGTTTGTACAACTATTGGTTGAGAATTTTTTGATAAAAAGAAGAAATTAAATAAATACGAGTGCACATCTTGCAACAATTCAGTTATTGAAAACAGTGTTTTACATAATTTCAGAATATTTTTGTTTCACATACATCTGATGTAAAAAATTGTTATTTCAAGTTTTGAAATATCTTAGACTAATTTCAAATATACCTTTCCAGGTTTCGATGGACACATCTAAATGAAAGATTATCTTATGAACGCGCAGTGCGACAACAAAAAATGCGAACAGAATTTGCCCAAGCTAGACGAGAGACTGAAGCTTTTATTGCTAATGTTGACGCAAGCAAGAAGTGGGCCAATATCAAGGAACGAAAACAAAAGAAGGGAATTAAACTAACTGAAACAAGGAGAGAAAATGAAATCAAACAAAGGAAAACTGTTGCTGAAATGAGAAAGGAAAAATCTACTGCTGGAATTGAATCAAAGTCCAAATCTATTTTGTCTAATATATTTGCATCTTGAAGCCAATAGAAGGGGGCGAGTTTGAGGTGTGATGCCAACATTGACCTAGGAATTGTATACAAGATTTCCAATTGCCAACACGACACAACCAGAGGAGGTTTAATATGACAGATCTTCACTTCCAGATTCAATTATTTTCCTTTAAGTCTATAATGGCCCATTGATCACCATGACGTTTTCTAGTGCAGTAAAATAAACAGTAAACTGGCTTAGTGGCTTTTGGGATTCTGGGTGCTATTCATCACAATTGTTTCCACTATGTTATTAGTGTTTACCTCTGTACATCAAGATATGTGATGTCTTGCGAATTATCAAGTTCTAACAAACTAAACCTAAATGCAGCATAAACAGCTAACAAAAAAATCTAATTCCAATAAAAGCTGTTTCTTATTGTTTTAGTTGAAATGTGTATGGCCAACTACATATTATCAGATTTGATTTTCAGTATTTTGATAGTTTTGTTTAGATTCTCAACTTGTGGATTTATATAAAATAGTCATTGCTTTCTTCTGCACCTCGCTAATATAGTAACCTGCCCCCACTTGTCTTCTATAATGAGTAGACTTCCTATGGAGCAGTGCATTATTTAGATATATATATAAAAAATGTATGCGTGTGTGGGTATTCAATGTAGGCTCTTTTTTATCATGCACGTCACAGTTGCTTATGAAATCTACTGGCTTGTTGCTATACTAAACCATAGTATGTCACCTCTCCCCACTTACCGGTATTAATTTAGTATTGAGTGGGTGTACTTGTACGACTGTTCGGTCATGGAGTCCCAGGTATATTCACATGCCTGGGCTATTGGTACAATAAATCTTCATTGTACACAAGTGTATTTGATCTATACAATGTACAATTTGTTTCTAATCTTTACAGAATTAACACAACAATAGATACCATGAATAACATTGCAAATAATTTTCCAATGGAGAAGTCTGTACCGAATGTGATGCTGTCTGTGGAATCACTTCCCGAAAGTAAGGTGCAAGAAATATCACTAAATGGTACTGAAACTTACTTCAAAACATTAACAATGTCTGAGAATCTTTGTAAAATGGCAACCAAAATTGACTTTCTCAATACTGAAGAGGATAGTAAAGAAGAGGATGATAGTGAAGTTCATACATCGTCTTTTCAAAACTCAACGATGGCCTTGGGAAAGTATTCGTAACCACCTTCAGCAAGCTCTTACAGAGATTAATGTCCTAACTGATGTGTTGACGATTACACAAAATAAGGGACCACCAAAAACGAGGCAACCATGACTGAAGGCGGAAAATATATGATGTTCGATCATGCTCGAAAAGAAGGTACAACAGCAGTAAAATTGAGTCAACAATTACCGACAAAGAAAAAGGGACTGAATGCAGCTGCTGATATACTCTTGAAAGGTGAGAAAGTCTGAGGAACGCCGGAGAAAAGTTGTGGCCTGATCTTGGATACCATTTTCAATCTTCTCAAACTTCGGAAGTATTGGAGAATTCGTAAAGTTGGATCTAAGGTACTTGGTGATTTTAGTTATCGGACAACTGGGTCTGATTACGGGCAGCCGGGCAACTTTCAAGTGATCAAAGCCACAACTGATGATGCTGATTCTGAAGAAACCAAAAACTCCGTGCCATATTCGTTCCCACAAAAGCCTTTAGATAGAGTTTCTCAACAACCAGGGCTTAAAGTGATCATTGGTGCTGATTTAAAATCTTCGACATGCATTCGTTTGTGCCTCAAAAACAGCGGAGAATCAGATATTTCCATTGACCTTCCAAATTCACCCCATTTCGACAGCCTTATAATTCCAAATGAACCAGAATGGCATAAGACATTGAGTAATGCCCAGAATACTCTTTTGTGCCGAGAATTGTTTAACAAGCTTGCGAAAGAAGCTGTACAGCTGAAGACTAGTGCAACGGTAATTCCCTTTTCTGTGGTGGGCAGTAAAATAAGCACAAAAATATTCCCTGAAATGGAATTTTCTATAGAGCTGATTAAGAAAAATTTGAATGAAACATCCCATCAAAATCTGCCCCGAAAAGCAATCAGAACCGAAGGGCATGGTATATTTAGTCTAAAACTGGCATCTATTAAGCTTTTACTTGATCAACACAAAAAGATGTTCAAGGTACCAGCTCCCCATCCTGTGACGGCGACGTTTGGTCTCTCAAAAATTCAACGCAAAGCGCCAACAACTCCATTTGTTCTCTCGCAAGTTCAAACTTTTACAGAAACTGAAGGGAAGTCCATGATAGAGCATTTAGTGGGAATGGCAAAGCATTGGGAACTAAAAAGAAGAGTTTGCAAAGTAATTGATATGCTGGGAAATTCTATAAGAGATCCATACATGCAAGCACATTGGTCAACCGTTGGCAGTCCTATGGAAACAAGTGTATGTATTGTTATTACAAGTGCAGGTTATGAAGCTTGCAATAGGACTTTAGTCAATATGACTGTTGGTACAGATAATGTGAAAGCAGTACAGAAAGATGGACATGCAGTATATTTATCTTCAAATTTCCACCATATACATGATTATCTTCTTTCTCTGTTATGTTCGCATCAACTAAATACCATACAAGAATTATGTAATATTTTGGGTTGGACCATTCAACACTTCTCCCTACACTCGGGTATTGGACACAAAACTGCATTTGGAAGCGCTGGAACTCTAATGGCTGCTTCTCGTAGTGGTAATTCTGCAATATCCGTTCGTTGTTGGATCGAACGTAAGAATGGTCGATCTGTTCCGGATGATCAAATTTGTTATGTGGTACACGAGCAAACTATTCATCCAGACACTTTGGAAGGTGAATTCTTGAGTCAATCATCTTACCAATACTCTGAGCAAAGCTCGATTCAGAATCCAAAATGGTCGCTCGTCGGTGCTGAATGGCGACAGGTAGATTGGATAAAATTATATGGAAAGTTTTTCATTTCTAAAGTGGAGAGTTTGTTGACATTTTCAAATACTAATTAATGAAATGTGAAGCATGTGTTATCACTATATAGATTCTATGCACCAGTTTGTGCCATTTATGTGGGATCGCTGCCAACTCCCCATGCAGTTTGGTTCATGTTGCCTACATATGAAAAACAAAAATATTTTGAAAATTTTTGTGCATATATTTTCAACAAAAGTGTACTCGACCCTTTTGCACCTTAAGTAGAAGCTATAATACGATGGTCATTTCATGTTCTGACAGTTTAATATATTTAGCTGTTTAATATAATTTTGTGATGCGGTAGATGTGTTATCTTCTGTTTTGTATTTTCTTATTTGCGGTTAGTAGACTTGGTGCTCAGAAATAATTACAGTCCTCACAATATTTAAAATCAGCACATTCCTATCACCGCAAATTCATTTTGGCAATACCTTTGGCATCTCATCTATGGTTGGATTCCATAATGAGTGGGGTCTTTAAGGTTCACAAAATATCCATCCCTGAATGTCAAAACACTAAATAATCTGGATGCAAATTTGATGTCACTCATAACAAGGAAAATCAACAATCAATTTTCAAACTAGGTCTGTAGAACCTCGTAGTGCGTCACTCGTCTAACAGGAAGCGACC